TAATAATAATAATAATAATAATAATAATAAATAGCATTTGTATATAACAGTTATAATAATTTGTTCTGTACATATCATTTGTATAGCGCATATCCCCGCTGCAGAGCAAGATCTAGTGACTATCTACATTATTACCCCCAGCAGACACGAGAATACTCAGCAGAAACATCCCCAGTTTCCCGAAAAGCGTGGAATGCAAACAGCTGATTAAGCACTCAGACGCTAATAAACTGACAAGACCCTTCGCTGTCTATAGCCGGGTACCCATTTCCGCCTCGGTGAAGAGAGGAAAATTCGTGTACAGTCCCTTTCTAAAACATACATCGTTGGGCCCTTGACGGGGTTCGAACCATGACATTGTACATGCGAGTCCGACAACCTATACACTAGACCACCGATCTTGCTACTCATCACCTATTAACTCGTGCTCCCTAACCATCAGACCACTGTAAACATAAAGGGAACAAGGACAAAGATGTAAGGGAACGAAAAGCCTAAGGACAACGCATGCTAAATATCTATGCACTCCCAGCATTTAAAAATGTAACGATGGGACCGTAGATTTGAATTTAACTTGTGATTTACAATTTACTTCCAAGTAAGCTGTTTTAACCATCTTGAGAATTATCATTTACAAGTGCAGTTCCTTTATATAAACAGCATAATAATATTACATAACAGGAAGTGTGAAGTCGAGGGCTCACCAATCAGTAATCTTAAGACATCCCGATTTCTGCCATCTTAAAAGCTGGACCACAAAAATTAGTCGTATCGACACACACACACACACACACACACACACACACACACACACACACACACACAGAGTCAGCTATACATATATTATTTGTTCCAACACACGATCAACGCATGCTACATGCACACACGCGTGCTTTGCTTTCACTGTAGAGAAGCAGTACAATTTCTATTACAGTTTTAATTGGTATATCATGGTTTGTTTCGGTGCCCTTTAAAGATACATTACGAAGGGACATGCAATCAAAATTAGACTATAATATTATAATAAATAAAATATGTAGCATGAAAACTAATAATAAT